TATTTATTTATTATCCTTTCAAATCTACTGTAACTGATTTTAATTATCCCCAGTCATAGTTTGTGGTCTTTTTATATCAAATTGTAAAGAAGCATTGTTTGGCATTTTATCTTGAACAACAAATATAATGTTACATTATTCGACGATAATGTGTTCGTTGTCAAATGGCATTTATATAATATAAGAAACGAAACCGTTGGAAATGTCTCCTGTGTAATATTGATGGGAGAGGTTTTATTAGGCATAACCTTTCACAGCATATATTTGACGATACAAGTTATCAATAGAACATTACGTGTCACCAAACGAAATGAACATACGACAAAGCCAGCCTTTCCTAATGATCTCTAGCTGCTCTAAGACTCCGAAACACAAATATTAGACTGGGGTAGTATATACGCATCTTTGTTCACGAATGGTGTGCTTGATGTGGTCATTGCGTCGTTTCTGCATAAAGTCGCATTACCATTATGATTACACTGAAAATAGTACTTCGGATTTATGCACACAGTAATATTTCCAATAGGAGTTCAAACGCATGATTAATCACACATGGACCATCTACACAATGATAACTTTATGTAGTTTTTTTTTCTTTATCAAGTAACCAAACGGCATAATTCAGAATTGAATATCTTCCCAAAATGAGGAGAGACTTTGAAATTCCTGTCCACTATCAAATTTTCCTTCGAAGTACTTGAATGAAAATTTTATACTGAATCCATTTCTGATGATGACACGTTTAGGTTTTCAATGGTCATTCCCTGTTGTAGAAAAGGGCAAATCGCCGTGAACGCCTACAGTGTCCATCAAACTGTGTCCTTGAAACCGAACAAAAGAGTTCACTGTTCCCTTTTTGATGATGTCGAAAACTGTCTGCACGTATTGAATTTGGTTCCCGTAGACCTCGAGATTGGTCTTATACTCAGACACAATCAGCAAGTCTTGACCACGATTTGTTAAAGATGTTTCTAAACTGGTCATGTAATACATTTCTGTGACTGCGTTCAAATATCGATAGCAGTAAACGTTGTATACGAATTCAAGGTTTGAAAAATATCGTTTTAGACGGATATTGTCACATTTCCCCCGACAATCAGAATTCCTGCCACCACCTTATCATATAAAGCTGGTTTTGGTGTGTTTTTGTAAATGTTATAAAACAATCTAGCTGTCATTTGATTTTGAGATCACGTATGTTTTTATACAGCTATACGGTCTCCGTGTTCGTGCCTCGGGAATTGCCTTAAGACTTTTCCACGACAGTGAACTCAGAGGTATTAATCTAACACCGTCTTTCCTTAAAGTGCAGTTTTGGCCCTCGCCCATTCAGCACATCATAGCGTCAACACGAGATGCGGCCCTGTGTCACCATAATACTGGGCATACACAGACTATAAACTAAAGATCAGGACATATCTTGCGTGTCCAGTCCGATGGAATGACATCTTAGTAAGGACGTTTACCGCTATTGGCACATTTGCTACGGGACCCGACTACTTTAATAAACGATCTGTCGGCTATAATTATAGCAGCTTTATTTAAAGACAAAATGGAAAGGTATTTACTTGTTATCATCTATATATACTGATATGAAGTGATAAAGAAGGTTATAAGTATATATGTATATATTAGTGTATCTAACGTAGGTCTTGGAGGAGCCTTCTGTCTCATCATTAAAAGTAGATTTACCATCAGACGCGTCACTCTGGAGCCTCATGTGCTGAAGATTCATCCTTGATGAACTTCTTACGTGGTTTTGCCGATATATCTAGGTTAATCCATCATACATTCATTTTCTTTCATTTTCAAGCTACCTAACCACATGAACACAACAGGGATTTGGTCTCTTTAACTTAGAACAGACCAAAGTTTTTTTTGCACAAACCATACTCCTTCAATGTACACTGTTACTAGCGTAAACTATTCATAATGAACAAACAAAAAACAAATAAAAAACACACAATTACAGTTATGTCCCTCAATTTGTGACGTTATCGTATACCTATGCTGTCATTTAGTACATATTTCAGTCGATAACCAACGCGAAGGTATTTTTTCCTTATTAATAAGTCAGTATATAGGTGTCAGTTCCTTTGTCATTTTAACATCTTGCTTCTACATAATTGTACCATGCAACTGAAACTATCATCAATTGGGAAAATTATGTATATTCCACTGTGATGTAGCAGGTAAAACATTTAAAAACATATTACTTATGAACCTGGGTGTTGCACTCCTTTCAGTAGCGTTGTCCAACTGTCTCCCCAAACCTACATCGTTTAAAAAAACATCGATGTTAAATCGGACTTGTCAAAATTTCGGTATTCTCACGAACCATTTAGGGGTTCTGCTTGTTCTACATAATGCAAATAGTAAACCAGATAAAATCCATTCATAACAATTTAACGTTTTTGGCGATCTGCCAGCTCTCAGCGTATTTGAAGGATAGGCTTACTGTGAAATTTTGTCAAAAGTGAATTTGCTCGGGTTTTTTAATACAAGCAATTATATGAATAGCTATAGAAGGACTCTTATTAAAGAAGCAAATATGACTGTTTTCCGTCAGGTCCGACAGTGAGAGAGAACAGTCTTTGTCATAGATAAATGCGAGATTTTAAATGATTTCGACGGTAAAAGAAATAAATAATCGGGATAATTTCTCTTTTCCATGCTTTCTGATATCAATATTCATTCGATTCTAGATTAGTTGTTGCACATGATACTAAAATCATACCAATAATTGTCCAAAATGACTGCATATATATTTTGGCGGATCAAATAGAGATAATTGCTGGAATTGCATACAATTAATTGTCGCGGATAGTTTGTGAACGTTGAGACTCATGTACATTGTACAAACGTAAGAGAAATATTAAGACAATACCAACAACTCAACAGAGTAATGAGGACAAAATATTAGCAAAAGGAGGATCCTGAAAAAACATGGATAATAAAACCAGGTATTCCGGAAGCGTAAGTGTCTTCTGCTTCATCGACGACATCCGTCATGTAAACCTTAGTCATTCCAAGTTCAATTTTACAAATGATAATAAGGTTTACAACAACGGATCCAGCAGACAAACAAACGATCATCAATTACATCCAGTTTCATATAGAACATAGAAACAGAATATTTCTCTATAAGATCACTATGATGACCGTTAAACTTCCCTATACTTTTTAATCGTGCATCTTATGTGTTGACCGACGTCTTGCACAACGACCGTGGTAAATGGAAGAGGTCCTTGGAAATCGAATCAACCACGACATATCAACACCATAGGTTCGGGATGCAGGAATATTGCTATCCAGAAATGGAAAATTCACAAAAAGGAAGTTGAAATCCCGCTTATCATACAGCTTGGTTGAAAGCAGTCCAAGTGGGTTTCGTTGTTGGAAACATTCGAGATAATCGGGGTATATACGATGGACGTGGTCAATAGAATTCTATTCAAGTAACAATGTTTACTTCTTATACATGACATTTCTTTTAATGTATCTTTCGAGTGCCTGTGAATAATATAATAGAGCTTAGAGACAAGAAATGGCTATGTCAAAGTATGTCACAACCACTGAAGTTCAAACGAATTGAATCTTCGGACTGTATAAAATGAAGAAATAAAAAATAGTTGATAAGAAAAGATTCTATATTTCTACAGAGTTTAAAAGCTTTTCATTTGCGTATGTTGTTTTTAAGCGTCAAAGCAAACATTCGATACATGAGGACAATCCGCATAATACGACGGCACATTCGCTTGAAATTCGTGTACGTTTTTTTTCAATACAAATCGTCAATGAAGCCAGAAGAATATACACAACAGTCTCAGAATTTGACTATTTTTCAAATGGAAATGAAAGAATAGGATAAAGAAGTCTTATAAAATCTACTTTTAGAAAGCAATATCTGGGCGAAGAGTGATATGATTTTCATAGTTATCATACATTCAAGAACGATGCTTCAAAGACATAACGGTAATGAGATGCTATTAAAGCGATGGAATATATATTAAGATATAGTAGGCAGAAGTAAACGTTCCCAAAAGATCATAAAAACCAAACCTTTAAAAGAATCAAGCGAATGGTAGATGATATGGAGTACAAAACAGACTCCTAGATGTTGTCTAGAGGGCAAGCATAGATGGTAAGCAGAGAAGACAGAGAACGTGCAGATGGTAGGTCTCCAGGAAAAAATATTTAAAAAATAAGTATACAGGACTTAAATAGATTTTGACAGAAAAGGTATAACGAGTTTAAATAGAGAGGAAAACGAAGAAGTGTGCTTGATAGCATATGTGGAGATTTTTGCTAGACAGGACAGATATGGATTGTAGTTTTACAGAACAGGTAGATATTTTGGCATGAGAGGATAAGTATGGATTGTAGCTTTACAGGAGAGGTCCAGATTATAGCTGCAGAGGGGGATATGAAAAAACTATATGAAATAAACTGTGCATTTAATGTTAGTAGCCAGGATTCGTTTGTTGCAGGTTTATCCTATCAGCATTGTGCTAATGCTACTATCAATCTAAAAAATGTTTACGGAACAGGTCTTTAATGCAGGAAGAATACCATAGCTATAACAACCAATTAAGCTGCAAATGTAATTATATATCAATATCTTAACATCCTTTATGTTATATCTAACATAATGCGAACCTTTGAAACAGGCAGGGTATTTTTGGTAAAATCTGTCAATCAAAAGGTATTCTTTGGATATTTGAATCCAGGCTAACTTTGAAAAGGATGGAAATAACATACATATAGTGTTTCTTTCTAAAATGAAATAAAAATATCAGAGGGGAAAGTAAAGTTTGAAATTTAATATGATAAAACATAAAATAGAAACATCGTAATGACATTTGTCTTCTGACGTACAAGCATTGTAACAATTATGAATGAAGTGAAATTGCTTTACTTTTGACAAATATATCCCTTGAAGTATATAAAATCCACATTTGTATATCGAGTTTTAACTGAGAAGATTAGAATATACTTACTGTTAAGGACATTAACGTCCATGCTGACGGTCTCCAAATCCGAACTCCGACAGACATATCGCCCACCATCACTCAATAAGCTATATTCAATAATTAAATGGCTAATAAGGGACCTTCCAGGCACTTCGGGTTTGTATTTTACAACTTTTATTCGGCCCCGCCATCTTTGATCGTCTTTTACTATCATGTGACCATTATGGAACCAATCGATGTCATCTGGTGCTCTCACTGCACCTGTAGCGTTGCAGTCTAATCTAATTTCTTCATACCGACTAACATATTCTGTTCCTCGGATATTTATTGCTAAAAGAAAAATATGATTTATAAATATTCAAGCAATATGAAATTGACGGAATTGTGCTTATCGGTGCGTATTAAGAAAAATATAGTTTTTGTACAAAAAGAAACACATATCAACGCAGTGCATTGTGCACAATTAACACAAATTAGATGAGAAAAGCTAAGCATATATTGTTTACCACGCTATATTCAATGCTTCTTTGTACACTACGCTTAAGGAATCAATATATCAATAAATATTTCTTTTCTTCGACATATAACAGAAGTCTTCATTGGATTTCTGACGCAAGCGTAACAAATATAATGTAATGTTAATTTGAAAAACAAACATGCAAAATTTTATTGATTCTCAACCATCACACTAAATTATTCTCAAAGAATACGAAAATTAGAAGTGATTGCATGCGACAAATTTGATACTTTGGATCTTTGAGACAAATGCGAATTTGCAACTGAATGTTGAAAGATAATTGTTAGTGGGTGTATTAGGACCGAGGTAATCATAAAAGATTTGCGTCTATATATTTAATAATATATAAGGTCATTAGCAACACTACAATACATGTCGTGAGGTTTTTATTTTTGTTGAATGCGTGGGGAACAATTAATCAGCAAATTCAGATATAACCGAAAAAAGAAAAAAAATGATTATCAGAAAAACTTCGACATGGATAACACAACTAGTAAATTTTGTAAGCAGGATTTATCCACAGAAACAGATGCAAACGAACTTCCACATTTTTTTAAACATTGAAATTTGAGTGATACGACAAGATCCGATTATTACAGTAAAATTTGTTCTCAACATAATTAACAAAAGTGAACATAAAAACCAATATCTTAAAATCCCTTTATTTTGTTGCAGGTATGACGTTAAGTTTATTAGTAAAATGCATTGTTAATCATTTCCAGTTGTTAAATGGAAGATAATGTTGTTAAATCCGTTTTAACGGTTTCGTAAATCAAAGCATTAAAAGTACTTAAAATATGGTCGAAAAAGGATGTATTATCATGTCCTTTACTCAGTGCCAATTTTCCCAAAAAGTATCTTGTCGTTGATTGTTAATGTCATTACGGAACTCTCTGAAGCAAATTGGGACCACAATAATCCATTAGAACTTGTTTGGTATTTGATAGCTGTGTTGCACTGTACCTGTCTACATTTCAACACACGTATAGTAATTCTTAGCCAGAAAAAATGACCTTACCCCCGAAAAGAACGAGGTGTCGTCAGGTTGCAAAGTTTACATGTGGGTGGTATAATTAGAAGTGAAGTTTGTGCTAAAATTCCACCATAAAACTATTTGTTACATGGAAAAAACAACCATGCAAGTAAACAATACGATGATAAAACTCATGTAAGCATGTGTCAAATGTTGGTATGTATATATTTAGAGACTTATCTGGGACCGGATCGTTGGTCTTTTCGCATAAATCTCAGGATCTTTCAATATATACCCTCACCCCTTTCGAAGGAACTAAAATGTGTCGTTTTAGTTTTCCGACACTTACTTAAAGCATTTATAGGTTAATATCACCTTTTGTTCTTGACTGTGCTATTTTACACAAAGCATCCTGAACTACAAACACCCACGTCTAAATACACTACATTTTTAGCATTTCTTAGGTCGGAGTACGGACTCGTGAGCATGTCCAGAAAACTTGTAATCAAACCATAAATAAAGAAGTTTTAAAACCTAAAAAGTGTTATCATATGGGCAACATTACATGGTTAATGTTGTTTGATTAAGTTCTCTCTTATGAGGTCGCATTACCTGAACATTGATAGTATCATTTGCTTCAATTTCGATATTTTGTTTTTAAAAGAATGTTTACTTGAAATGTCCAATGGAAAAAAATTATGTAATATATCATGTCCTTTGAAACACATTCGAAAAGCAGTTTTATAGTTATACTCATTTTGATCTAATAGCCAAGCCATTTTGCTATGCGTTTAAGTCTATGCAAAGGAAAGTTGAAATCGATTTTTGAGACATTAACAAAGATGTGTGTAAAAGTTAACATAATAAAGTGTTTTCTCCTTGTCGAAAACAAGAATCAAAAACAAAACAAAATGGTTGCAAACTTGCGCTTTGTGAAAAATGATGTACTATGTCTCTGCAAGTCAGGATAAAAGAAAATGATTGATCAAAAGAAATATACTTAAGCAAATAAAATATTTGAAAGGTATTTAACAAACACATTTTGTTTTATATACTATTGTTATTAGATAATGAAATATACATTTTCTAAGTTTATTATTATAGCAAACAACAGGCGAAAGAACCAAAGCGATAGAAGAGGTATCGAAAGAAGCAACTACCATGAAAGCAATGTAACAAATAAGGGGATGATTGTTTTCACTGAATCCGTTTAACTATACGAGCACCATGCTGAGTTGCTTACTTTGGGACAAAGGAAACATTTCCTTTGAATGTCGCCAAGATGGTTTTTAATAACGAGAGTCTGCTGAAGAATTGTAATCCGTGTTTTCAAATTATGTTAAAAGGCGACAAAACTGGCGACAGTGTAGCGCTAATGAGTTATCGTAACAAAGCCACGCGTACATCGAGAGTATAGACAGATGAATGTAGCTGATCCGACAATAGGCTTATGAAATATGTACACAATTCCTTCTAACTAGAATAATTGCATAACTTTGAATTGAGTTATAGCACTAATCTGAAAGGTGTGTTTATGAGGATTGGTGATAAAAATGTTAAAGCAGTGCTTACGATACTTGATGTGGTAAAAAACGTACTGTGAGAGAGTAGAATTCTCGTTGATGATCTTTTGAATCCAATTATAAGATTCGTTGTCCACTTATCTCTGAACTAGATGACCTTAAACTACATAAGGTAAATATTATATGACGTGATCGATATCTGTTGACTTGTATTGTTCTTCTGTTATCAATACCTCGTATCGCAGTTGAGAAACCTCCCATTTTTAGAATTTCACCTAAATAACCATATGCTAGTTGCTAATGTTTTCTCTTTACTCCTTTGCAATCGACATATCAGCTGTATCATTTACTGCTCTGCTAAACTACAAAACCTGCCAAAGTCCCATTTCACCTTTTTTCATTAACTCAATCTACTTATTATTTTCTGATATAAATGTGTTTTCCTTCTCGAGATATCTTACTTAGACCATTCAATTAATTTTAATTACAACGTATTCTGCAGTAACATTTTAGAACTAATTAATAAAATTTCATGCAAAACAGCTAATGTTAAAGAACGAAATCAATACTTATTTATTCCAAATCTAACATTCTCGTATTTATTTTTCTAGAAAATATTTTAACATGACATTTGCTTAGTGTATACATTTGTATCGCTTACTGTCTCACTATTTGGTGTAACATACGTCAGGGAACATCAACATATTTCATATGTACCTTATTTTAGTGTGTATTTCTTTTAATGTCTTGCTGGTCTTAAGTTGATATTGTTGATAATAAGCAAATTTAGAAGTTAATCAGTGAATAGTCTTAATTTCTTTTACTTATAAAGTTTATAGGAATAAATGGTGCAGAGGAAGCAGTGATGAGTGACGTTTTATGAATGAACAATCGACAACAAAGCATATACCTTACCTGGTTCTACTTGTAAAGGTGAATCTGTGAAAAGATTGGAGCGCTTAAAATTTAATTTTTGTTCAAAAGGAATCAAATGTAGCGCATAACTGACTGCGCTTTGAAACTACTAGCTAAAAGCTCAGAGTTGTAAGCAAATAATTGCTATACACATTCTACAAACACTACTGACATTTGTTATTCGATATTACATACAGGTATACAAGTCAATTATATGTACGAATGTCAAAATGTTCATTCAGGAAATCACGGATCAAGGAAACCGAAAACTGCCCCCCAAAACCCCCACCCCGAAAGCCTCCACCCCACCCCTCCCTATTTGTCTTGGACAATATAATGTTTGTGCTGCGGACAAAAATGACAAAATAACTGTAAAGATCAAATAGTTGAACACTCCGACAAGTAATGAATCTGAAACTAGATGAGTCGTAGAGACATTAATGCCCCAACTGGCATACTTTTCTGTGGAATCTCATCACTCATGAAATGAAAGTGAAGTTCTACCTGCTGAAGCTATGGTAACGAATCTGATATAAAACTGTCTTAAGTGCAAGAGGGGAGGGAATTTGTCTTCAAATCAAAAGTTAGACAGGGCTCTCCAGTTTTGGTCTTAACATCCTTTAACAATTATATAAAAAAAAAATTAAAATGAAATTTCCATAACATTTGAAGAAATCTATAGACTATTACCAAAATCAGAACTTTAACCTGTATCCGTATCCATTGAAAAGTGAAGCGGAAGCGATATAATGACGGAATGATGATCATGGATACACTATATGTCTCAACCATGAAATGGCTTGGGAATGTAAAGCAAATCAGAAAGGAGTCAATTACATAAAAAACAGTAAAACTAAGGATTAATATACTATCCTAAAACCGTTTTTGATTTGCAATGTATCTGAATTTAAATTGCATAACAACCAACATCATTCTTTCAATTATGATAGGAAAATGATAACGAGGTTGATTCCGAATAATTTTGATTTATTTATTTATTTTTATGGCATATGTAATTCCATCTTTTTTTCTGATATACATCGTCCATTTTGAACAACGCATATTTTATAGGTAAACCATTACATACGATCTATATTCATTGGTATCGGTGAAAATGTACAAGTACTCTGCAGTCATCTAAAGAAAAAAGCCTCACAGTCTCGATATCTTAGACTCAGAATCGCCAAACTTAACATTTTAATGTATACAGTACTAGAAACTAAACCTTTTGCTAAAGAAACATAGTTTGAAAACAGAGTTTAAGAGATCATTTTATATGTTTAAGTAGTACGCTGGATTATTACAAAAAATAATTTGATGATCATGTATATTGCATCCCGCTCTGACTTTGCAACGTCTTTGTGTATAGATATTGTGTAAACATACAACATCCCATGCAAAGTACTTATCACACCATTTTTTCGGCCATATTTTTTCAGTTAGAACCGTAAGTACAGTTATAATGTAATGTTAGTGGGGGCACGACACGCCAAACTAATGACTGATAAGGTCACGATGTATCCCAAAATAATTCGTTATTATCAGTCATAACATCGCACTTGAAAGTTTTTCTCTCTCTTAATAATGCATTGAAGACACAGATTTTGTAAACATTCGGAAACGCAGTCGAAAACAGTAAATGTATTACTATGAAATCAGTATGGCAACTAAAAAGTCAACGAAAGCCAGATACAGACATGATAATAATTATGAGTTTTCTCGACAACTACGTTTCCTTCATGAAATATATCATGTTTTGAGTCAATCAGACAGAGAAAGTATATATAGTAGCATTACCTATGCAGATCTAGAAAAGATCAAAAGTAAACAACAAAGAAAATCTAGAATCTGAAGATATTTTTTGTAAAAGGATTATCTATAACACAGCTAAGGTTGACTCTCTACACATCTGTTGTTAGATCTATTTTAACTTGAGCTATTTTGGATACAGAAATCAACTATAAGTATATTATACTTTATTGTTTCATAAAGCTCGCAATCTCAGACCGCAAGATGTTTAGTATCAGTATAGCCAAGTAGGTGGGACTGCTATAGTGAAATGGAATGTTAAATGTTAGAAGAGTGAAGACTAAAGGATTTTTCCAATATGGCGTAAAATGTTTCTAAATAAGATGCCAAGATTGTTATCAATAGAAATTTGCTTGTCATCTTAACATTAGTAAGTCTACACCAAAGCGAAAACGTAGTCGAAAGCGGTACTTTACATTATGAATATAAGTCATACAATTTAGATCGTATGGATAAGAAAATTATTTTTACTTTGTTAAAGTGACACCTAAAGTAAGATTGACAGTTAAATTACCCTCTTGTGTGTTCCAAACATTGGTGCTTTGTTACTTTAATTCCCAGATATTTCCAAAAATGGCATTCCAAAAATTAGCTCAAAAGAATGTCGCTTTAGATTTAAACCTCCTCGATACTCCAGGGGTTACGCTCTCTATCGCTCTCTGCACCCATGGGACATGTCTGGAAATACTGAACGTTCCATGTGCGGCACCTGTCGACAAGACTAGTTTGACCGTTTTATGTACATCAAAGGAATGTCAAGGTCGCATAACGGTATATTGTAATGACTTTGAAGTTCGATGTCATTCCATTAGAACCTTCAAAAGGAGCGAATCAATCAGCCGTTCTTCAGAAACCAATAAAATACATCGCTTGTGCCTTCAATATTTCCTTGACATGTTCCATGTGTGCAGAGAACGATAGTGAGCGCAACTCCTGGAGTATCGAGGATGCGATTTAAATAGTAATCACATTTGTGTAATGAATATATCAATAACATATTGCGTTAATTTAGAAAAGCATTTTTGCTTAGAATTCCATTAGTGGATATGAAAAAATTAGACACTTAATTAGTTGAATGTAATGTACATTGTATGTAAAAATATTCCGAGTACGCCAACGTCAATTTCAATAACATATATATAGACAGCTGATGTTGATCGTATCTTATAATGCAACCCTAATACCATGATACGAGTGGACTATAACACCTTAACCTGTACCTCTGACATATTTACAAAACTATGACGCTACTGATTATCGTATTGTTATCTTTCACATGAATCTAACAGTACAGGTATATCTACACATACGGTATGAGAAATGGCGTATTCATATTTCACATGCATAATTATGCCATAACTGACGGCATTGTAACGTGAAATATTCAACACATTTCTACTTTATCACTATGTCATCATATGTTTGTATAGCATAACTACGTCATTTTTTTATGTTTATACAACATAACTAGGTCATCATATCTTTATATAGCATAACTGCATCATTACATATTTATATAACACAACAATTTCATGATATGTTTTAGCTATGTCATCATATTTTTGTTAAAGTATAATTCCTTCAATAAATTTCATATATAGATATTTTGAGAATATAATTACGTCATGAATACGTACCTAACACAGTAAGGTATACATGGTGAGTATGAATGTTGGTGGCACTAATCTGACACTCGTACTTCCCCGAGTGCCGGGGCTGCGCCCTTTTTATGATAAGGTTATACTGAGTGACCATCCCTCTCAGATTCTTGTGATCAACACTGAGTTCTTCCTGAGGGTCGAACAACAGCGTGCCGACAGTTAGAGGATAATCGAGGGATACTTTCCGCCAGGAAACCTGAAAATGCAAACAAATATCATTAGCTAAATCATTTAGTTTTTGACAACCACTTACTTTATCTATAAACCCTTTCAAATTACAATGCTGGTAACACTTGAGATTATTATCTGTTGTGTGCTCAAAAGTCATCATGTTAATCTTTATTTTGTTAATGTTTTGCCCATGTTACACCAGTTTTTGAGTTTGAAATACTACAGACTACTCGAAAAGATTTCTTGAATACCGCTTACAATGTATAAAGACCAACTCCGAAGGCTTAATTTTAAGTCTTATGGTAATGAAAATTTTGATTTCGTTCCACAATTGTATCCTTTCTTTTAATGACTTTACCACTTATACGATAAGCAAGTGCATACATGTAGCTGTTTTTATCCAAAAGTTTACAGTGAATCGAAGAAACCGTGCAAGGTTTCTTCAATAGTTATTATCGCTTAACTGAGTCACATATCGCGGTTCCCCTTCTAACATCAATATCCATGATGTTTTGACGTCAAAATTATATTGTCATTCTTGCTAAGAATGTCTTCAGGTCATTAATTCCTTTAATGGATCAGTGATAATTTCAGATAACTTTGAATGATAATAATTTTTTTTTTTTTTTTTTTTTGGAAAATAATTAACGCGTCGGTTGTGGCTGCATCCGTCGTGAACATATGAAACAAAAACTACCTACAGCGCATTGCATCCTATTCAAAGCTTCGGGAATATACCGTGGGCGAAACATTCACTCAGTATATAACATACATTGAATATATGTAGTCGGATTTGTATGCATGCAGTAAAGGTTGATTTCATGCGGAAATAGACGTCTGGATTTCATCATATGATATCAGATTAGACAGAAATGTAACTGACAAGTTCGAGTTGAAGTCCAGTTGTGCATTCGATTTTAGAATTATTTTCCAGTCGAACAAACAACAGATTGAAACATGCGGCGATTGCATGTCAAAAACGAAAATGTTGCTTTGCTAATTCAGCTTTAATTTATAGAAATAGTATAACATTGACGGATATAGATTTGACAATAGACCATATGTTATTTTGAAAAACACAAACATACATTTACCTGAGGTAGTTCACTAATAAGAAAATAGAACTGATAATTGATGTCAACATTTTGATCTTGCGTTGAATTAAGGCGAGAATGATTTCTTACCATATTTTAATTTGGTGTCTTTGAAGTCTTCGAACAAGCATGCTATGTACAGCTTTATTGTTGAGACATGTGTATATCATACCACTAAATATTAAATGTTATGAGATTTCAACTGTAGGAGATATCATTATATCTGTATAACTGTGTAATATTTCCTAGTTCATGAAAGCTTCTAATTACAGCAGTGAAAACTGATATTGACAATGTTGAGTTCCTTAGGGTTACCAGTTATATTCATCCATGCCAGGGAAAGTTAAAAATCCTATCATTTCAAATATAACGAGTGCTCGAGGAAACTCTGTCTCCAGTTTCTTAAGTCAAAAGTAATGAAATATCCCTATTCTTCCCGGCGATTAGAGTTAGCACGGGTGTATCGCTGAGGTAGCTCACTATTGCATATTTAGACATTGTGATGTTCTCAGCACACAGGATTTTAGGTACATGGTTATCAGTTTCTTCTTCATTTCATCTGCTCTAGATATTTGTAATGAATCGTGCTATTCACATTTGTGTCTTTTGTAGTCTTGATTTATAAAATATATCGTAAATATTTTGGAATATCACAATTAAATTTTTGCGAGTTGCTAGGGAAAGCACATGCAGCATCGCATAGTTACATTTTTGTATACTATGTAAACTATACAACAGAGGCATGTAAACCATGTGCACTTTTACACAACATGCATTCATTATATCATAGATTACCAAAACCTTTTCTATGAATTTGCATTCTCGTGATCTATAGTTCTCAATATATTTTTAAATAATGACTGAGTGATGAATCCCCTTGCATCGAATAAACCATGCAATACGGAGCAAAGAAATATACCACTGATGTTCTATCCGGTGAATCATTTTCTTCTTAAGATGTAATGCCGAATCTGCATTGACTTCCTCATTTTTGTTTGGTATCAGTTTTACATCCATCACATTTTCTAATTCAGCTCTCAATAGCATCCATTCCCAACGGAATTTTCCATCCATTCGTAATATTTTGCAGACATACATTAAATCGGTAGAGGTGCTATACAAAAAACTATAATTTGCAGAGTTCTCTATAGTTCTTTGCTCATGGTTTGAATTGGATCGCTGATTAAACTAGAAGTGTATTGCCCCAGGGAACTGCATTTCAAATGTATTAGTTCGACAGGACAACAACACAAATGAACATAAGATTTCAGGCTCAAGACTTCTTGTCGATATTGGACTGGTATATACTGTAATGGCTATGCATACATATTATGCCGATATGTCGGACATCTAAGGCTTAACCCGTCTATATTGTTCACAGAATGGAGCCTCATTACAATAGGAAAAGTACAAGTCTGATTTATTACGTGGTACATGTACTTTGAACATGTAGTCATAAAATAAAATTTGGAAGTCTCCATCATTCTGAGAGCGAGGTTAATCATGCAATTTTAGTGTCTATGCAATTTCGCATACAAGATGTAGTATGATAGAGTGGCACCTGTCCTCGTTTACCTATTTAACCAATTAATTTCTATGCAGTTACTAAAACAATCATATAATTTCGTGGATCAAAGTTTTTTTTGTTTCTGTGTTTGTTGCTTTTTTCTTCAAAAACGACTTTTTAGCGGACATTTGATTAAGCAGATAAATATATCTATATATCTACAATTGTATGGCATTCCTACTATGTAACCTTACCAAAGTCAGTTGTGCTTTACCAGCTCATGAACTGTCAATGACGTAAGGATATGTAATGTATTATGTAATACGCAAAGTAAACAGATTCATGAACCTTACTGACTAATTCATGAACCTTCCTGACCAATGCATGAACCTTTCTAACTAAATCATGGATCTTCCTGACCAATTCATGAACCTTTCTAACTAATTCATGGACCTTCCTGACCAATTCATGAACCCTTTCTGACCAATTCAAGAACCCCGTCCTGACTAATTCATGAACCTTCCTGACCAATTCATGGACTTTTCTGACCAATTCATGGACTTTTCTGATAGATATCGTATAATAACTACACAGTCCCTTAACGGAACCAAATACACAAATGTATAGGAAGTAATTTTAATTGTTCAGTTTTCATAGAATCGGTTTATGTTGTGTTATTGTCTTTTGAAGTTTTTAGATAGTGGCACGGTTCAGAAAATACACATGTACTTGACGCTATTCTAAAATTATCTGATGTATGAAATTTTTGAAATCATCTTTACCTCACCGTCTAGATTTTGACTATTCTTTTGATCAATTTGGATTTTCCTAAGTCGTCTCATAGGCTTCAAACTTTAGACACTTAACATCACTGGCGAGTCCTAGAAGGACGAACAGCTGTATAATGCGGTTTGATTCGCTGTTTTGCTCTATTCTATCTCACTCTAAATTATGAATAGGTGCTATTCACTTGTGTGTGTATTGTACAATCTTTGAAGTTATCTCAAATTTTATTCTAGACGGCATGGCAACTCGAAGTTCATTGTTACGCTGGTCTTACTACATAAATGTTGAATTTGAAGTCCTTTTCGACCAAACACTATATTTCATTTCAAGTTGATTATAGCTATTATGGTGATCTCTGTGTTGTTTGTTTTGTGACGAACTTTTAAGTCTTAGGCAGCATTAAATTTATTGGCAGCGTGTTTGTTGGTCTGCCTGTATTGAATCTTGCTGCCTACACATTTTCTGCAGAACATCGGAATGCATTGCGCAGCAGCGTGATTTTATGTCGTTGGTCCTTTTCTCGTTTCTGCATGTTCCAATCACTTCTTAATGCTATTTAATATTATTCCAAATATCTACTCTGTAGATGTTTGTACCACTTGATTGATTCAAATCAACTGCGATAGAGAACAAAAACATTCTGGTATGCTTTGACATTTGTAAGCTCATTACAAGTCACGTTGTCAATGCAATTGTCATATTTGGAAGCGACAAATGTCATATGTGCATTTACTCTACACACAATTCTTGATTATATGTTATAAAAAAAATGTTTATCAAACATGTTGACATATGGGTAGGCGGATTGGGATTTCTGGTGAGTGATTGGTTACAGTTAAGGAATATAACCGATTCTATCATATACTGCAGGATTATGTTTAATGACACATAAACTTATCTACAGACATTACAGACCGATAAATACACAAATTGTCATTAAAATGTCAAAATCGCGATCGAAGTCGGTTTAAATAGGACAGAAGACATGCCCTTACAGATATCGATCATAAGACATTTAAGCGGATGTAAGATAAAGCCATATTATTTTTAATATGTTTGCTGTCAACACGTTATATTTCACTCCCGACATCCCCTAAACATTTAAACATTAACTAGCAACTTAGTAGTAAGTGCATATAACTTGTATGTATAACAGCCTGAAAGTACGTTATATATTTATTTATTAATTATAAAAATAAACATACTTTGAAAAAAATCGAATTAGCACATTTCCTGTGAAACATCTGCACTTGACTTTGGTCTTAAATTATCAGATATACGAACATTCCAAAATTTAGGTTTAGACATGTCTTGCGATTAATCATGATTTTCCTCAATTACCTCCTAGACCTCAGAAGTTATGACCTTAGCATCACGAAAGTTATATGGTGTATTTGAATTTATTGTTTGGCTCTTTTGTATCTTAATCTAAATTTGTAATTATAGGCGCATGTATTCACTTGTGTATCTTTTGTACAATCTTTGAACTAAGTGTTATTATCACACACCTTATATGTGAAATCATTCTTACATCAAATGAACTCAAGAAATGAAATGTGCAAAAACTTCGAGAAAATACCAACCTGGCTATATAATGATATTTCAAACTCAACTTCTGCAAACGTACAAGAATAAGAC